AACAACAGTTTCCATGTCCATGTTGTTTCATATTTAACACCACAAGACATTAAAATGGAATTACAACATTAAGTGTGTGTGATCTGTACCTGAATCACTCTTTGCTTGATTTTGGGTCTACAATCAAAGCAGAGCATCCTCGTTATTAGCCCTGGGTCTGGTGGGGGCCAAAATGTTTCAGAGGACAAATCTTGTTGAACTCTGGCTCCTGCTCAAACAATCAAAGGGACACATGTTAGAAATCAACAAGTTCTGCTCATAAAACACAAACATGAATCAAAATGACACAGATGAAGACTGAGGATTACCGACCTTGTGAGGCTAGGGCAAAGTTTGGGATTGTGTCTGCCAGGGGAGCAAACGTGTCCATCCTTTGCCTGAAGGACCAGAGTTCCTGCTGCGCATCTTTTAACTGCAGCTTTAAATCTGCTACCACTGAGAAACAAAACACATAAAACATCAGAAATATGCTTCTTTCTAAGCAAGGAATCTGAACCAGAGGCTAGTCTAAAACATGATTTAAAATAATGTTGAAGTCACTCACCAAAATACAAAGGTAGCAGGAGGAGAGAGCAGCTGATGGCAATCAGAACATGTCTCAGTTTTGGAAATACGGAGCAATAAACACGGCGTTTAGAGCTCCCCTTAAAAAAGTCAGCAGCTGTTTCACTGCTGACTTTTTGTGAGACATCCTGATTGGCAACAGGAAAGTTTTGGCGATCGCAATGAGGGCGCCTCCTTTTCCTGAAGACCCTGCAAAACACAACAGAAATTACATGAGGATGAAAAATGCATGAAATTATAGGTGAATTAAATAGCGTGACATTTTAACCCACCCTGTGTACTTGTAGGGCCTGTAACTTGGAAAATATGTATGAAGGTAGAACTTCACATAATTTCTGTCACAAGGGGCAATCAGGGAACCCAGGAGCAGACACACATCAGGCTGACAGGCAGGTTCAGTGCAAAAGGATATTAAATAAGGCAGAAACAAAACTGAAAACTAATACAAGGGTGCAGACTAAACAGAGTGGGAAACAGAACGAAACAAACAGAATTCAAACAAGGACGAAACTACAAAACCAGAGAATACTCCGACTAAGAACAGAGGGGGAAAACTAACGGATTCTAAGTTACAAAAAAAACAGGAATACTCACACAAGCAGGAATACTCACAAAGGGGGGAAACAGAGGGGGCAGACAGGCTCAGGGGAATCCAGGGAGAGGCAAAGTGGAGACTGGCAGAAACATGCAAATGTAATGTCTATGATCCAGCGGCTTGTGGTGGAATGAACCNACATTTATCAGGGAGGTTTCCTAAATTTAATTGAGTTTGAATTTCCTTTAGATGTCTTTAATTTCTTTTAAAAATGTTTAAAGCCGTGTATTGTTTTTTATAAACTGAGCTAAGCTTTTATGTCTTTAGTTTGCTGCCCTGTGAAGCACCTTTTAACTTGTGTTGTGAGAAGCACGCTAAAAAAAAAACAGTTATTATTATTATTATTCACAATAGGAAACAACCTCTGTTCTTCTGTTTTTCCATCATCAGGTTGTGCAGCTTTGAAGTCATAAAGGCGACCCATCGACCGGTCGCTCTTCATGGACGCACAGCTGGGTTCAGGAGGGTCTGGCTTCTGCTCTGGGCTTCAACACAACACAAACACAGACACCAACATACCATTTTAAATGCTTCATTGAAGACATCTACTTTAATATCAAAATTTTAAAAATAAATGACATTAAAACTACCATTAAAAAAAAATCTGTGGATACAAGTTGTATATTTAAACATTTTTGCCATGAAAACGTTCCTTTACTGTCTTAAATGGCTTGGATGTAACACTACACTGTAGCTTTCTCTACAATCTCCTCATCTATGAAGCCCCTCCCCCACCTACAACTTCCACACTCTGCAGCTCGAGCACACCAGCTCACCTACAACTCCTCCCAAACACTGTAAAGCTACTCTGCACTGCACAATGGCGAGATGTAATGATGGACAATTTAGCTGTACATGTTGGAACAGATTCTGAAGCAGAATAGTGATGCAAGCTGACAGGATTTAGTCCTTAAATATGTTATGTAGGAAATCCCCAAAATCCTCAACCGTAGTGTTGACTGCTTTTTTCGTTCATAATGTGTCTTCTAGCATATAAAAACAGTGTTATGTTTCTAAGATTTTTAAACAGTAGATTTTCACCAGAGGGACGTTTCAATTTCTCTCTTTCCATCATCAGATTGTGCAGCTTTAAAATTATTCAAGCGACCCTTAGACCAGTCGCTCTTCATGGACACACAGCTGGGTTCAGGAGAGTCTGGCCTCTTCTGCTGCTGCTGTTTTGGGCTTCAACACAACACAAACAGAGCTTTGAGGGTGAATAACAGTCCTGGAATGATTTAAGTCATGAGCAAAGAGCTTCATCTCACCTCTGAGCTTTTGTCTCTCTGTCATGTTTCAAGCACTCGGTGGTTATGGAGGCAGTGTTGGCCTCCTTTTTCTTCTCACACTGATTCATTGCACATCCAACACCTTTACGCAAACACAACAACGTGCCTGCGCTCCTTAATTTCAATGCAAGTACTGTGACCGTCTGGAAAATATTCACATCTATTCACAGCGCCAGAGAGAAAGCAGAGGCAAAAATACAGTTAAAGTGCTTTTTACAACTCAGAAATGTACTTATTTAGATATTACTGTAAAATAATACATATATTCACACATGCCATTTTAAAAAGAAATCAACCAGAATAGACTCTTTTTATTAATCAAAGTAAACGAGTCACTGGATACATTTAGCATAAGAATGTTTTTGTAAAATACAGAAGATAAATTAGTGAAACAAAATGAAAGAAATAACCAAACCATAAAATTAAATAACTAATTACTTATAACATATGCATCACAGAAGTTAAGGTATATATAGATAATCAGTGGAGGTGTATGCACTGTGGCTGATGTGTCTTTGTTGATTTTGTACACTAGCTATGGTTCCAGGGTCACATGAAAACTGCAGACGGGCTGTCAGCTTTAAAAATGAAACCAAGTTGTTTTGCTTGTGAGGAACTAGTACACTGTTGGTGATGGTGTTTGTGCTGACAGCTGGAAAACAACACCAAAGAAACTGACCAATGGTGTTTTTTTTTTCACGTATTGCTGACAGTAATTTCTAAGGAAAGGGTCACGAAGAAAAAAAAAGTCATGGCTTTGAAGCTCTACAGACCATACTACAGTTTGTTCACCGTTATCTTACTGTGACCAAAGGTAGCTGGCTGGCAGGTTTCAACCCGTCAGCCTTTGAGTAGTTTAAGACAAAAAAGTGAAAATGATCTGATACTGAACTAAAGATTTATGTCATGTCTGCAAATGAGAGCTGGTTCACAAACATTTTTACCTGGTAAGATAAAGGTCAAATAATAAATAAATACATTTACAGCTCAACAAGGCTGTACTTTGTACTTGAGGGGGTTTTCCAAAAATGGTGAGCATTATTTCCCTCACAAGTTGTTCTTGATAAAAACCAAAAATGGAATGAAATAACTAGTCATGTTAAACAAATACACCCATCTGCTACCACATTAAAACGACTGACAGCTGAGAGGCTAAAACACTGATTATCTTGCTGCATTGTTCTGCAGGTAAACTTTGGGTCCTGACATTCATGTTTGGCACATATCACCCACAAAACAGCCTCATCTCTCAAAAAAGATGCTCCTACACAACTAAACTGCGTCCAAAATTCCATTTTGAGGGAAATAAAAATTCTACTTGCACTTACGATGTATCACAAATACTATCTTTATCGACAAATCATTGCTAAATATTGCTGTACTTGTGCTGCTTTTGAACCGACCAATCATATATTAGCTGGGGTGTAACTCATCACCAGGGTAACCCAGAAGATCGAGGAGTTGTGTAACAAGGGTTCTGATATCTTATTAAAGCTACCCAAGTTCTTTGGGTTCCTTCAGTTTAACCAAACTTCTAACATGTTGTTATCGTTATGAAACTGTCCACCAAAGTGTGATTTTTTTTTTTCCTGAACCCAACCACTTAACTTGGGGTCTACCACAATAACAACTACAGTTTCAAAGTATACTGTGCATGGTACAGTTGTGTCAGGCAGGATGGTCAAGAGTCAGCCAAGAATCCCCAAAAAGCAGATCTGCTTTTCTCAACTCAACTGTCCTGCACCTGTAAAAGTATCTGATTTGTTCAGTTCATAGCCCAACTGAATAAAAGGTAAGAAACAACATGAGAGTAATACAAGCTAAAATGGTGAAATGTCTACTGTACCTCTCCATGTAGAAATTCATCTGCGACAAAGGAAATGAAAGGGAAGTCAGACGCAAAATACGAAAGCTGACAGAGAACACACACACACACACACACAAAAAAATAGGAACTAGACAACCAGCTGAACCAGCATTTCTCGGCATGATGAACCACAGTCACAACATGAGAACTGATCACGGGTCGTTTTATTATTTAATGTTTAAAGATTTCTGATGTCTTCATTTGAACAGCAAAGCTGTTAACATGTAGAAGTGAGAAGCAAACTAAGTGCCACAGAAAAAAGTGAACTATGTCCAGTCTATCAGATATGTCAGTGCT